TGCACTGGATCGCGGGCCTTCCTCAGCCACCTCTACCTGCCGCGGGCGACCAGCCCGAGTCGAGCGCCGCTGGTGGACGCCGAGTTCCTCGTCGCGCTCCCGGTCGTGACCAGGCTCCCGCGAGCCCCTCTCCTGCTCCCCGGTCTCCTTCTCCAGGGTCTCCTCCTCCAGTGGTGGTGCCCATTTCCGACCAGTTGGCGGCGATCGCTCATCAAAATGAGCGCATCCTGACCGGCCAGGAGCGCATCCACACCCGCCTTGATCGTGAGCGGGACCGAGGGCGTCGTCTCATGTCGGGCCAGCACTACATTATGTCCTACTTGGGCTTGAACCCGAACGCGGTCCACTACCCGTTCGTGCAGTCCCAAGGGTTTGAGGATGAGTACCCTCCACCCACTGGCGATGGTGGGGATGCCTTCTAGAGCTGATTTTGTGCTTTATTTGTGTTCCAGACTGAGACTCCATGTTTTGTGGTTTCTTTTTTTTTTTATCTTGGATTGTAGACTTGGTACTATGATTTCTATCACCCAGTGTGTGTGTCTTTTGTTGTCTCTAGCTCTGTGCCCGTTGGACTGGTCCTTGTCCAGTTTTCTGCTTTTGACTGGTCCGCCATCCAGTCAACGTTCCTGACCACGTTTTCACGGTAACATCGTTCCCCTTCCCTCTGCTCCATTGAGGACATTGTCGCATTTAAGTGTGGGGGGGTTCTTTGTATGAATTGGAATGTATATATGTGTGCTTGGAGCCTGGTCCACTGTCCAAATCTTGAGATTTGAGGGCTCCAAGCACGGCCGTTTTCTTGATCTTTGATCGTATTGGCACTGTGGATGTGATTAGTGAATTGAATGGCTTTTGACTTGATGCATGACAACTTGAGTGTGACTAAGACAGCTTATTATGATGACTGAGATGTGCAGTAGAATTGTGTAGGGGTTCAGTTTTTCAACTGTTTGCTTACCAAATGTGACTTGGTTTGATCACTTGCTTTTGACAGTCATTTATGCATATAGTTCAGGGAATCAGAACGAGAGATAGAGCATATAGGTAGCCATGTGAGACTTGAGCCTGCTCGTTTCTTTCTTGTGCGATAGTTCCCTCTTCCATGATGTGCAGCATTCACGTTGTCATTAGCTAAGATGATGGAGGCATAGGATTAGCCCACGACCAAATTGACTGTCCCGGTGTGTCATACCCCCTAGTCAGCCCTTTGAGCCGTGTGTTTTCCTTTCTTTCGGTCTTAAATGAAAAGTCACCCTTTTGCATCTTTTAGAAGGTTCCACAGAGTGATTTTTACATGTTTTCTGCTGTTTCTGCTAAACGTAATGGGAGGGGTGGAGGTAGTGCTTAAAAGTTGGGCAGGTGTTTGAAAATGTGCAGAAGTGGTGGTTCTCTTAAGAAATGAAAAATAATGAAAGAAAAACAAAGAAAAAAATGAAAGCAAAAGAAAGCCACCACCAAAAATCTGAATAATGTCCATTTAGTAGTGTTTCTTAGCAGTCTGGCTTAGAAATACTAGCATTTATGTAACCTCCTTCGCTCTTGTGCTCTGAGGAATTTGAGTAATGCAGAATAGCAGAAAGAAAGTTATTGGTTTGATTGACTCTGAGTTTGTTGGGTTTGGAAATGTGGAACCTTGTGCTGTATGAATACTTCCACCACCTAAAAGGCCTTTTCCCAATGTCCAAGACCCTAGCCAGTCATCTGAACTTGTGTCTAAGACCTCCGGATTAGTTAGTGGTGACACCCCTTATGTGAACTCTAGCATTTAGAGGCTGCATTCATGATGAAGAGATGTTAGGGATTGAGAGATTAAGCATGCGCATTTTTCGCATCAAATTGTCCTGACCCCATTGGTCGAGAGTGAGCGATTCATTTTCTCATATTCTCTATACTCTTTATCCCGGTGAGGACCTAGATTGCTCGGTCTTTATTCTGATATCTTGAGTTTTGTGCATGAAGTGACTGTTTTGAATAAGTGGTTGAGTCAAGTCTATGTTGGTTGGTGAACAGAAGGGAGACCCTTCCTTTGCTCGATTTTACTGCATTCGAATGTCATCCGTGGTGGTTGTCTAGGTTGTCATTGAGGTTGTCCATGTGTTAATGATCGAATGCCAGTATGATCCACGTGTTTTGTGCCGATATGATATGCCCTTATGCATGCTTGATTGAAACGTTTTGAGCTTACCTTGTGTCTGACTTGGTTTGCTTGGGGACAAGCAAACGGTTAAGTGTGGGGGAATTTGATAACGATGTAATTGCACATATTTGCACCCCTAGTTCTTATCCGTTTGAGGGGCATAGTCGTGTATTTTTGGCCTATTTTACACCGGGTTGTGCTACTTTGTCATATTTCAGGTCCCAGGCGTCGGAGGAAAGGCTAAACACGAGTTTCGGGGCATTCAGAAGTAAATCGGTCGAGCTGGAGCCAAAACACGGGCACGCCTAAATCAGAACACGACCGTGTTCCTAGGCCGTGCTTTTACTGCCGAGACTTGAATTGAGTTTGGCAAACACGAGCTCAAAACACGGGCAAGACAGAGACGAAACACGGCCGTGCCCACCAAAAGCACGCCTGTGTTTTCCCCAACGGGCTGGCCATGTAATTAACCCTTGGCAAAACACGGGCGGGCTGAAGCAGAACACGGCCATGCCCTCAACCGTGTTTTGCCCAGTGACTCCCTTTTAGGCAGATTACAGCCAAAACAGAAGGGGATTCGAGTTTTAGAGAGACAGAGCGATCCCCAGAGAGAGAAAGCGACGAACAAGAGTCTCCAAGTGCCCTAGCTTGATCTTCATCACCATCGGAGCTTGGCTTGAGCTTGAAGAAGTGCTGATCAACGTCCAGGAGCAGGAATCCATCCTTCACAGTATGAATTCCGCGTCTGATTATGCTTTTGCTTCTTTCTCCATGGAGTAGTTCTCCCATTCATCTGGGTATGGAGAACCCTAGATTTGTATGTTAGGTCTGGTTGTATGAACCCAAGTACTGATTCTATGAGTTGATTATATTCGATTGAGGTTTGAATGATTGAATGACTTGAATCCTGATCAAATTCCTGTTGTTTCTGCTTTAACCTAGAATGAGAATATATGCCTAGGTTGATAGAGCATCCTTGATTGAAGGTAGGGAGTTGGTGACTTTAGTCGAGGAGCCAACTCACTATTCTGTACCGGATTCACTTCGGTAGTGGAGGTTTTGTTCGTTAGGGCCTCAATCTGTTTACTCCGGTGGAGGTTAGTCGCCCGCTGGAGATTCAGATTGAGAGGGTCTGAAGACCTTTAGTCGAGACTTCAGACTGCTTAAGAACCTTCCGCAGTATAACTATCATAGAAACTGAACTTGGTAATTGCAATCCGACTTAACTGCAGTCTAGGGGGAACCATATCCGGGTGACCTCTCTTGACCTGAAAACAACATTTTACTTTCTTTGTTTGTTTGTTAGTTTAGACTTGCATTAAGGTTTCATTGCTAGATAACAAGAATTCACCGAGTAGTCATCAAATCTAGGACCCGGGTTGACATTTAAACCCAAACCCGCTATACTACGCTTTAGGAAGTGGTTTCACTTGGCCAATTCCTGGAGTGACAGTAGAAGTGAGTCAGAAATGGCTATATTTGTCACGAAACTTTCAAAATTCTGGCTATATTTGGTATTTCGCCAAAATGGCTATTATTGTCACTAACGTAAAAGTTTTGGCTACACAGATGAATTTTGCCTAATAATAATGTTCTAAGTTTGAATTACCCAACCTACCTCTTATATTCTCATACATATTTAAAAAATGATAGCAGGATAATCTCTTTTTTTTCAAATTTCAGGGGTGTCCCTCACTATCAATTATCAATTTTTTATCAATACGTAAATTACCGCCGAGGGTTAGATAATCATTTTTTCCAAAATTTAGGGGTATCCCGGGACACTCCTAAAGCCCCATGGGTCCGCTCCTGTCCAAGCTAAATCAATCCAACCATTAATTCTCAATCCACTTGTTCGACAGGAATTGACAACCTTGATATTTACATACAAAAGTAACTTTACAACAATAAATTTAATGTAAGAAAATACTGAATTCCTATTTGTCGCCCTAAGTTTTTGAATTTATAGCCCTAAACTTACATACATGGACGAATTTACCCCTCATTTAACCTAAACCCTAAATTGACCCACCTTTTCCTTACCCTATTTTCGCCAAAGACTCACAGCCTGCCGCCACCTAGACCCTGCCGCCACCCTCACCCCTCACCCAGTTTTCCGGCGCCATCCAGAAGGAGAGGAAGTCGCCGCCGAAGTCGCCGCCAACCTCACCCCTCACCTAGAGCTCCAGCGCCATCCAGAAGGAGAGGAAGTCGTCGCCGAAGTCGCCGCCGAAGTCGCCGCCACCCTCACCCTCGCCTAGAGCTCCGGCGCCATCCAGAAGGAGAGGAAGTCGCCGCCACCCTCACCCAGACTCGCGTCCACCACCAAGACCCGTCGCCGCCACCCAGACCCGTCGCCGCCAGCATCTTCGCCCAAGCCCAGATCCGCCGCACTGTCGCCGAGGAGGAAGGAGAAGCCTCCAAATCATCGTCCGCCTCTAGCCCTCTGCTTCTGCTCAGACCCGCCAGAGGTAAATCTCTCTCTCCCTCTCTTCTCGTTTGGTTGAGTTGCGCCGACGTCGCGGGTTGAAAATCCGTCGCCAGTGGCTAGAGGCAGGTAGGGCGTTCGATTTGGCCGGGGGTAGACGCAGGCAGGGCGCCCGCGCAGATCCGGCGGAGCCAGGTAGCCCACCTGCCCCGACCCTGGTCCGATCCAGTCTCTGTCCCGCCCTGACCCTGGTCCGACCCGCCCGACCCGTTTTATTTTTTTTTTCAATTGAAATGCAAATGTTAATGATTAGAATGTTCATTTTAATTAATAATATATAAATTTGAATGGTAAATTATAATCAATATATGACATTTTATAATGGGAAGGAAGAAAAGAATCTGTTTGTTGCGGTTGCTGTGTGATGAGAGGATGTTAATTACATGGTAGGCCATGTGTTTCAGGTATCCGACATCCACATCCCTGAACAATTTTCCTCTCTCGTTCTTCCATCAGTAACTCAACTGCCCACAAGCTCACTGTAGTATTCAGGTTAACATATGGCGGTCCATAGGCTAATGCAAACACCTATTCCAAAATCATGAATTTCTAATAAAAAATCAAATTGAGGATATAGGGAAATGCCAAATTAAATAAGCAAAAACGAGAATACCTTGGAAAGTGAATCCTCCAAGTCCTTCCTCAATTCAATCACTCTTCCGTTGACGGATGTGTGAAACCTGAGGAAGAGTGTATCGATCTTGTGGGTCGAAGTGGCAAGCCATTTCTTCAAGGAGGAATGCATCGACTCTACCCTATTTGTGCTCGTGTTACCGATATGGAAGATGCGATTGGTGTAGCAATTTGCCCACCTTTCCCTGCATGGCAACCACTCACCTCTCAAGTAGTCCATTAACTTGTTGTTTGAACCCCAATGACTATTTTGCAACTCTAGCCAACGACGTTGGAACCCTGCCTCAGTATTAGCTCTCAAGACTCTCTCCCATAGACTTCCTACAAATAACTCAGCAGAATCACGACCAATCCCCAACTGCATCATTTTGGCTTCAATGTTCTTTTTCATGTGCCACACACATAGTAAATGAGCTGAAGATGGAAAGATCTGTTGCAAAGAGACACCCAATCCTCACGCCTTGTCTGTGACGAACGCAACCGGGGTTCGATCACCAAGCACAATCTTCAATTGCATCAAAACCCAAGCATATGTCTCCTTCGTCTCATCTGAAATCAATGCGAACCCAATGTTGAAGTTCTTCTTCACCGGACTAACACCAATCAACTGAACCAGTGGCTGCTTATACTTGTTAGTCTTGTACGTCGAGTCTATCAAAACAACAAAATACCATGCCAACAACATCCGAATCGACTCAGGATGACATAGGAAGAGTCTAGTAACACGACGTTGATCATCAAATTCACACTCAATAAAGTAGCCAAGTTGAGCTTCTATCAATGTCCACCGCATAGGTTTCAACCCACCCAATCTCGCACGCCTAATTTTTGCTGTCTCATTATAAATCTGAGTCATGTTGTGATGAGCATCGTACTTCATATTGAGCAAACTTCTTATATCTTTCGCCTGAGTATGTGTTGCCTCCAACTCCTTAATATTCATTTTTTCCACCTGCGAAAGAGCATTCTTTCGCCTGCTTCCCTCAGAGTAAACCTCCAATCTGTGACTGTGAAATCCCCTCGACTTAATCCCATGAATTCTCCACTTACAATTGCCATCTATTTTTACGGATTGCACCACCACTCGGAAACGACAACCTAACTTGCCTGTTGTAGATTTGCTTCGTGTTGTCTTTGCGGGATCAGACGTATATGAGTTGCTCCTACAAGTGATGACTCGATATTTGCACATGTTTTCCCCTTTGTTTCTTGATCGTTTAAGCTTGCATTATCGCTTCTTTGGCCTATTATACGCTAGGTTGTGTTCCTTTGTCACATTTTAGGTCCTAGCATGTAAAGTGAAGCGTAGGCGCAAGTTTCAAGTCAATCGGAGATCATTTGGCAATTCGGGAGAAGAAACACGAGCATGACCTGAGGAATAATGGATTTCTACCTCATATTATGGACAAATTATCATGGAAGTTTGTTATTAAAAGAAAGAGGACGAGACTATGAGCGTCTGGGTTCAAACGGCGACTGATTTGGAGTCCGGACGAGGGAGAAACGAAGCTTTGAACAGGAGCGGAGGAAGAATTACGGGCAGGAGAATTACGACCGTAATTTCCCCTCCCATGCCCGTATTTTCACTGCCGAGAGGAGCTTTGGGTGCGCTGAAACTTAACCAAAACGCGTGTTTTGGGCAAAATACGGGCAGGGAAGAATTACGACCGTAATTCAGCCCGTAATTCGCCCAAAATCGGGCTTTTGAGGCAGATTCGAGCCAAAGGAGAGGGAGAGCTTGGTTTTTGGTTCCCAAACACCCAAGGGACGAACCCTAGAGAGAGAGAGCGACTTGGGAACATTCTTGGAGCTATTTTGGAGGATTTCTTCGCCATTGGAGCTCGGGAATCAAGCTTGGAGATGGAGATTGAAGATCTAGATCAGATTTCTGCAGTCTCTCTCTTCTCTATGGAGTAACTTCCCTTCACTTAGGTTTTGAGGAACCCTAGTTCCATGAGTTAGGATCTTTCTTGTATGAAGTTTTGGATGCTATATTGTTTGATTATAATCGAATGATGCATGTTTAATGAGTCAATTGAAGCCTGATCAACTTTTCCTGATTTCTGCTGCAATCTGAGATAGATAGAATCTGATTAGGTTGCTAGAGTCTCATCATTCGATAGTAGAAGATTGGCTATACGAGAGTTAGCCAGTTTACTGCTTTGTACTGGAATCCAATTCCAGTAGTGGAGTTCTGTTCTTACTGCTTCAGCTTTCTATCCCGGTGAAGACTAGTCGTCTGCCGGATAGTTAGACTGAGAGGGCTTGGTCAGCTTAAGAGATTCCAAACTACTGTCGGATCTTCCGCAGTTTAATCAACAGTAAAACAACCAAAAGGAATTACAACTTGGACCTAATTGAGGAGCTAGGGGGAATCATACCTAAGTGAGTTCCCAAACTGTAATTAGTAGTTTTACTTAGTTTAGTTAGTAGAGTAGTTTAGTTAAATCAATCCTTAATCTAGTTTGCTAGATAATGAACTGAAGCTGAGTAATAGTAACTCTAGAGACCCGTGGATTCGATATTTATTACTTGTGCCACTATACTGCAGTCCCTTTCATTGGTTACACTTGGCCATTGTTAGGTGTTGTGTCATAGCGTATCAAGTTTTTGGCGCCGTTGCCGGGGACTTTCTAGAGTATTAGGAAAGGCAGAAGTTTGTTACTTTAGCGTTTTTCTTTTCTTTTCTTTTCCACCCTTGCTTTTCACTTGGGTGTTTTTGTTTTTGTTGGTGCAGATCTGAATCATGGATCCTCATGGCTTCTCCAACCATTGGGGGTATCCACCACTATCCGAGTGGTATTACCCCGAGACTCCCTACAGCAATCAAGGAGGAGAAGACTATGGATTCGGGTTCCAGTACCAACCCCCTTTCTACGGAGAACAACCAGACCCCTGGGCATATCAAGAACAACCTCATTACCAAGAAGACTTTCTCCCACAACCAGAAGGGCCGTCGGAGCTGGAGTTACCCATGGCGGCCTTCACGGGCCACTTTGCAGAGCCATGCTACACTTCACTGGAAGATCCGAACAAACAATTAAGGCTTCTCGTGGAGCAGTTTGCTCGAGACACTGAGAGAGCCTGCTCCAAGATGGATCTTCAAATCAAAGCCCTTGCTGCTTCCGATCCCTCATTTCTCCATGATATGGAGGAGACTGTTCAGCGCTCAGCGAAGCAAACAGAGTGGGTGAAGCAAGTTTGCTCGCATCTTGCTCAAGATCGCCTTTCTGCTACCACGCTAGAAGAGGTGGAGGATGACAAAGGCTATGGGAGCGACCACACCTTTCCTCATTTATGCTCTAACATGCTGGGCCCGTGCGAGGAGATGCAAGATGATCCCATTGAAGAAATTGCTTGGCGACTTGCTCTCCAATCTGTTCTAGAAGAAGAAGAGCGAGCAAGGATGAGGACTGAAGTTGTGGATGATGAGGAAGAAAGAAAAGAAGAGATGGTTCTTGATCTGTTCCCAGGGGAGAGACCACATTTTGAAGAAGGAAGGGGGGTTGAGGAAGCAATTGGCGTCCAAGCTGAGGATGAAGCTGAGGTGGAAGAGGCCTGCACCGGCCAAGAGTTACATGAGATATCACCACCAAACTTCGAGGAACTACTTAGCAAGGACCCATTTGCAGTGTCTCTTGGCCAGACCAAGGCCACATCGACATCGGTCCCTCTTGGTGGACGCGATTGTGGCCAATCGATGCTGTCATATCTGGTTTGGGGCAATGAGACGAGAGAAGAGAAGAAGAGGTCTCGAGGGTGGAGACTTCATCTGCATCAAGTACATGAGCCTTCATCACCTGCCACACCACATGCTCGTGACTTGAGACTCCACCTCATCGACGAGAACCTCAACTTCAAGGAGGTATTAGCATGGACCGAAACTTAGGAGCCATCGTCCGGCTCACGACGTGAAAGAAGCGCTTGTTGGGAGGCAACCCAACCAGTCGGTTTGCATTTCTTTCTCTATTTCTCCTCGGTTGAGTCAGTTTTGTTATTTGATTTTAGAGTCAATAACTCAACCTTTGTGAGATTTTGTGTGGTGTTTGTGTTCTGATTACTCTCTCTTTCTGGAATGCACCGCCTGACCCGTTCATCATCATTCACCCTTGATCTGGTAACTTCATTCTACCCTCCTTATTTTTCCTCCATTGAGGACAATGTCGTGCTTAAGTGTGGGGGGTGTTCGATTATGTATGCGGGTGAATGTTTGGCTGTATGTGTGCTTGGAGCCTAGTCCACTGTCCAAATCTCGAGATTTGAGGGCTCCAACTACTGCTGTTTGATCATATCGGCACTGTGTTTTGATTGATGAATTGAATGGTTTTCGGATTGATGCATGACAGCTTGATTGTGACTATGACAACCTATGATGAGGGCTGAGATGTGCAGTAGAACGATGTAGGGGTTCAGTTTTTCAACTATTTGCTTACCAACTGTGACTTGATCTGATCACTTGTCTTGACAGTCGTTTATGCATCTAGTTCAGGGTATCAGAATGTGAGATAGAGCATATAGGTAGCCATGTGAGATTTGAGCCTGCTCGTTTCTTTCTTGTGCGATAGATCCCTCTTCCATGATGTGTAGCATTCACGTTGTCATTAGCTAAGATGATGGGGGCATAGGATTAGCCCACGCCCAAAACTGACTGTCCTGATGTGTCATATCCCCTAGTCAGCCCCTTTGAGCCGTGTGTTATCCTTTCTTTTGGTCTATAACGGAAAAAATCACCCTTGTTGCATCTTTTAGAAGGTTCCACAGAGTGGTTGTTACATATTCTCTGCTGTTTCTGCTAAAGTTTATGTGAGTGTTGGAGGCAGTGCTTGAAAGTTGGGCAGATGTTTGAAATATGTGCAGAAGTGGTGGCTCTCTTAAGAAATGAAAAGATAAATGAAAGAAAAACAAAGAAAAATTGGAAGCAAAAGAGAGCCACTACCAAAAATCTGAATAATGCCCAGTAAGTAGTGTTTCTGAGCAGTCTGGCTTGGAAATGCTGACATTTTTACCTCCTTCGCTCTTGTGCTCTTGAGATATTGAGTAATGCAGAATAGCAGAAAGGGAATACCGGTTTGTTTGACTGTGATTATGTGGGTTTGGAAATGTGGAACCTTGTGCTATGAATACTTCCACCACCTAAAAGGCCTTTTCCCCATGTCCAAGACCCTAGCCAGTCATTTGAACCTGTGTCTAAGACCTCCTGATTAGTTAGTGGTGACACCCCTATGTGAACTCTAGCATTTAGAGGCTGCCATCATGGTGAAGAGATGTTAGGGATTGAGAGAAATAGCATGCGCATTTTTCGCATCGAATTGTCCTGACCCCACTGGTCGAGAGTGAGTTATTCATTTTCATATTCTTTGTACTCTTGTACCCCGGTGAGGACCTAGATTGCTCGGTCTCTATTCTGATGTCTTGAGTTGGATGCATGAGTTGACTATTTTGAGTAAGTGGTTGAGTCAAGTCTAGGTTGGTTGGTGAACAGAAGGGAGACTCTTCCTTTACTCAATTTTGCTGCACTCGAATGTCCTTTGTGGTGGTTGTCCAGGTTGCTATTGAAGTTGTTCATGTATTGATGTTTGAAAACCAGTATGATTCACGTGTTCTGTGCCTTTATGACTTGTCTCCAATGTTGGTTGATTGAAAACTGTAAGCTTACCTTGTGTCTGACTTGGTTTGCTTGGGGACAAGCAAACGGTTAAGTGTGGGGGAATTTGATGACTCGATATTTGCACATGTTTTCCCCTTTGTTTCTTGATCGTTTAAGCTTGCATTATCGCTTCTTTGGCCTATTTTACGCTAGGTTGTGTTCCTTTGTCACATTTCAGGTCCTAGCATGTAAAGTGAAGCGTAGGCGCAAGTTTCAAGTCAATCGGAGATCATTTGGCAATTCGGGAGAAGAAACACGAGCATGACCTGAGGAATAATGGATTTCTACCTCATATTATGGACAAATTATCATGGAAGTTTGTTATTAAAAGAAAGAGGACGAGACTATGAGCGTCTGGGTTCAAACGGCGAACGATTTGGAGTCCGGACGAGGGAGAAACAAGCTTTGAACAGGAGCGGAGGAAGAATTACGAGCAGGAGAATTACGACCGTAATTTCCCCTCCCATGCCCGTATTTTCACTGCCGAGAGGAGCTTTGGGTGCACTGAAACTTAACCAAAACGCGTGTTTTGGGCAAAATACGGGCAGGGAAGAATTACGACCGTAATTCAGCCCGTAATTCGCCCAGAATCGGGTTTTTGAGGCAGATTCGAGCCAAAGGAGAGGGAGAGCTTGGTTTTTGGTTCCCAAACACCCAAGGGATGAACCCTAGAGAGAGAGAGCGACTTGGGAACATTCTTGGAGCTATTTTGGAGGATTTCTTCGCCATTGGAGCTCGGGAATCAAGCTTGGAGATGGAGATTGAAGATCTAGATCAGATTTCTGCAGTCTCTCTCTTCTCTATGGAGTAACTTCCCTTCACTTAGGTTTTGAGGAACCCTAGTTCCATGAGTTAGGATCTTTCTTGTATGAAGTTTTGGATGCTATATTGTTTGATTATAATCGAATGATGCATGTTTAATGAGTCAATTGAAGCCTGATCAACTTTTTCTGATTTCTGCTGCAATCTGAGATAGATAGAATCTGATTAGGTTGCTAGAGTCTCATCATTCGATAGTAGAAGATTGGCTATACGAGAGTTAGCCAGTTTACTGCTTTGTACTGGAATCCAATTCCAGTAGTGGAGTTCTGTTCTTACTGCTTCAGCTTTCTATCCCGGTGAAGACTAGTCGTCTGCCGGATAGTTAGACTGAGAGGGTTTGGTCAGCTTAAGAGATTCCAAGCTACTGTCGGATCTTCCGCAGTTTAATCAACAGTAAAACAACCAAAAGGAATTACAACTTGGACCTAATTGAGGAGCTAGGGGGAATCATACCTAAGTGAGTTCCCAAACTGTAATTAGTAGTTTTTTTTAGTTTAGTTAGTAGAGTAGTTTAGTTAAATCAATCCTTAATCTAGTTTGCTAGATAATGAACTGAAGCTGAGTAATAGTAACTCTAGAGACCCGTGGATTCGATATTTATTACTTGTGCCACTATACTGCAGTCCCTTTCATTGGTTACACTTGGCCATTGTTAGGTGTTGTGTCATAGCGTATCAACTAGCATGGTTGCAATCCATATAGATCTGCGGATTGCCTTCTCCAACGTTTCTCTTGACTGATGCCACTATCAAGGAAAAACTATTACTCATGGCAATCTCCTTTGCCGCTTTACAAGCTTGATCATGGGTATCATAAACATCACTTAGAAACAATGATTTGCAATCAACATTGTCACCCTCATTAACTCCGGATCCACCCTACAAGAAATACAAGGTAAAAACATTTAGTTGTGCAACAATTATGTCACGATAATTAAATTATAAAAAATAACTACTTACCGAATCATCCATAATAGTTTCCTGGTTAGTAAATGATGGTGGCACAAGATTTTTATCCTCCTTCCTAATAACCACAATTAACAACGAAATTTAATGAACATAAATATTTTAATTTATCTGAATTTTCATTAAGAAAGGTCCATGACATCACAAAATTAACTCGAGCATGTTCAAAACTAGACCAGACCGAGGGAAAGGCATATTAAAAACAAGAAAGAACCGTGGGTCGAGCATGTTGAAAACATGCCTAGACAGGAGGACGAGCATGCTACGAGCATCCCTGGAGGACGGAACGGGCAGGTTGACAACGCGTCCGTTCCATGGCTGACGCAGGGTTTCAACATGCTTGACCACCGGTCGAGGCAGATTTTCAACATGCTCGACTTGTTTTCCAGAAGAAAAAAAATTGCAAACGAAATCTTACCTTTAGTCCGAGTCCCTACATGTTATGACGATCGAGACCGACTACTTCTCTACCTCCGGCAAACTCGTCGAAATCCGGCGAAAATTTATCAATGTAGAAGATTGTAGATGGATTTTGTGTTGTGTGGTTTGGTTTTAATTTTTGGTTTGATATTTCTGTTTTGTGTTGGAAGAAAGAGTTAAATGGGTTGGGTTAGATGGTTGGAGCATTAATTCTAGGTGGTTGAACCATAAAATTAAATGAAGGGTTGTTTTATAAAGTTGTATGGTTTAGGACGACAAAATTTAAAAATTTAGGACGACGAATAGCAACTCTCGTAAAATAGAGGTGCGTCGACGACAATTACGGAAGATGGGTCGGAAGTCCCAGATTTAATTTTTTTTCTCACAAAATTTTCGGACGAAATTGATACTGTGGGCCTAACCCATTATGAAAAGAGTCGAACGGTGTTCGTGGCCTGCTTGCGAAATAAAGTGACGCATCCATCGGACGGTCAGAAGAAGTTAACTCTAGGGTAGGGTTTTGGAGGCTGAATATATACGCCTCTCTATTCTCTAGAGCAGCAGCCGCTCGTTTCTACCGAGGAAGAAAGGGATTCCAGCCCCGTTTCTCTCGCTTACTCGTCAGGTCCGTTTAATTGCTTCTCATCCGCATAGCTTCGATCTGGTGTCTCTCATATTCCTACTGTGTTTTGGTTCATTTATTGTTCGATCTTCACAAGTGAGATTTCTGTAGCTGTTATGTTCTTTGCCTTTTTGTTCTGTTTTGTGCCTTGATTAACCGCTTTGCAGAGTCAGGTCGATTCTCCGTTTGTATGTCTTTCTCTTGGTTTAGTCTGATAGTCGATTTTTTTTTTTTGTATGGGCTGTGATTGTCGATTTTGCGATTGTTTTCTCGGATCTTTGTTTGTGCTATTCTCTGGGTGATGATTATGATTAAGTTACTGAAATGATATAAAAGTTTGAACATGAATTTCGGGTAAGGGTATCCCCACCCAAAGATTGAATCTGGTGTCAAATTGGTATCTATTGGACCATCTTCAATCCGGATTGAGAAATCAATCTTAACACCACGATCTGATAAAATCTTTTTTGTTTTTGCAGTTGCGGCTGTCTAATCTTATAGCTGTAATTGGCTTCTACAAGGACTAGGCAAGATGGTAACTTTTCTCATAACTATTATTCTGTTTACTCTTGTTTCAACATCATACGTTGATGATTATACTATGTCTCAATTCCTTCAGTTGGTGGTGCCATGTCGTACCGAAGTACACAATTTCCATCTCCCTTCTAACAAAAAAAAAGTGAACATATTTCATCGCGGTCGCGGTAACTTTCTTTTTCCCTAAAATCTTCGGAATGCTTCTTGGTATGGTTCTCTTTCATTATTCCTTAGTTTGGCATGTTAATGTGTTGTTATTTTCCCCACAATTCTGGGCGTATACATGGTTGTTGGGTATTAGCAATTTGTTACTAATGCTTTGTTTTGATGAGTGCATTTTGAGATCCCAGTATTTCTTTATTGCCATTGTTATATTTACACACACTTTTGAAAATCGGCATATCATTATGCTTACTCTAGATAACTTGAAGAAACTGGAGAAGAAAGAATCAAGTCGTGGCGAGTTTGGTTCCCAACGGTTCCGACAGCCCACAAGCAACGACATTATGTGCGAATGTGGACGACTTGCAGTGGTGAGAATATCACGCACAACCCTAAATCCTAATAGGAAGTTCTTCTGTTGCGCTAAACGCGGTTCAAAAAAGGTATATTTATTTTTTGTATCTCACAATTTTTCAAGTTACTCGGTTTATGGACCAGTTGAATAGCTTCGTTTTCTTACCCCCCCTGAGTTGTGTGCGGTATTTTCTATTACTTTTGAAGGTGGACAAAGGATGTGGACTCTTTGAATGGTTTGATATACGAATGGCAATTGAAAAAGAGAGACATAGGTTGGATGCTCTAATTAGATTTCTAGAGGCGGAGAAAGTATATTTGAAAGAAAAAAATGGATTACTCATTGAAGCTAACAAGAATCTTCGGAAATCAGTTGCCCAAACGTTGCGCTGAGGTTGTTACTCATATCATAAGCAACAATGTTGAAGCCCATCCAAAGCTGTTATTGTATTGCGAATAAATTGAAGTCTTTTGATCTAGAGGGACAACTGGGAGGATTGGAAGGCCGAATGTTGCTATTTGTAATGCTTTGTCTACGGATTCCATGGGCCGCTGTGCTTTCCGTTTAATAACGTTAAGACATTCTTAAAAGAAAAGTAATCGTATAAATGAACAGAAGTTTTGGCCAAAGGATGCATAGTCGTATACACTACAGTAGAGATGACAATTTATCCACCCATGGGTATTTTTGTCCAAACCCGATTATATCCATTTATATGGGTTGGGTATGGATTTATTCTATATGAATTTGTATAATATTTGGGTAGGTGAAGTTGGGTTTGGATTTTATTTTTGAGTATGGATTGGGCTTGGGTACCCATCTCTTTGGACTCGCCTGTATATGTTTTTTTTATTAAGTGTTAAAATGTAAATCGAAATAGACCACTCACTCACTAGCTAATAGGTAATAGCACAAATTTGGCATCTGGGTTCCTACTTTCCCCATAGCCAGCCACATACATCAAATTCGAGAAGAAAGGAAACAAAACAAGAACAGTAGCGCTCCTCTTCTCTCCCTGTCATAGGCACAGATTTGTGCACATGCACCATCATGAGGACAAATTTCATGGCAAGGAGCACTAAAAGAGCACTAATTACAACTCGAAAATAATCCTTACACACATCAGACCATTGCTTCCCAAAAGGCCATGCCATACGACTAGAAGACACACTAGGCTGTCCATTACTACTCTCATGATTCATAGATAGACTATCATCATTAGTTTCTGAAGCCATATTTCCCTAGAAAAATCAAGCAAGCAACAAACAATCATTCAAACTAGTGCAACAATACAATCATTCAACCAAATAAGGATTAAAAATGCTTCAAACAGAGACAACAATACACATCCCAATCATTCACCAACTAACAGAGCAATACACAGCCCAATTATTCACCAACTAACATTTTGATGAGACCTAATTCAAAGCAAATAGAAAGCATAGCCTACTTGATAAGAATTCGTACCTGGATGCGTTTATGTATTTCAGCTACTAGAGAAAATCACAAATAGACCAACTGTATTTTGTCTACAGCTGCTGCTGTTGGAGCTCCTGACGAGCAAGACCCATGCATTTGTCAAATGGTCACCTGAAATGATTTAGAATATAAGGTGAACAACTTTATGTTAAGGATGCTTTAAAGTTAAGCATTGAATCGAACTTTCTAGAATCCCGTCATCACACTGTTCTTGGTTAGCTACAACTTGATAAAGCAGAACCATAAAAGAAGCCCGTGAAGGCAAAAACAACCCCAACTAGTAAGATAGTTGATTGATACCACAATATCCCTCTTTGGTTCTTGATTCCTACAGTTAAGGAGTTGCCACAACCATTATAGCTTATAAGAGATAAAGCAACGGAGGTATATGGATTACAGAGCATTTACCCATTTCGGCTTCCAGAGGCTTGTTCTATGACCAAAAGCCAAAAACAAAAGATAGGGCATCAATTATGGGAAAGCAACTAATACTAACAAAAACCCACAAACGTGGATGGATACTACTACACAAGTGGACAAAGGCCACAGCTTCGATACCATCTTCATTGCTAAAGCAGAATTCAAAATTCTAACTGCTTCTGTAGATGGAACAAGTGATTCTTACACTATGAACCAACTATTTACCTATTGGAAGATCATAAGGAAATTGACCCGCCGTGGAATTCCTTCAAGAACATAGTCGAGGAACCCTTCTTCGACATTTTTTCAATCATTCAATCACCGTTCCCACTTTGTTGTTTCTATCTTCTGCCCCTTCTTCGATCCCCCAATCGTACTTAATCTTGCTGGCGCTCTAGAGGGCACATTTTTACCCTGGTTATGTAGCACGGATCAAAGATCCGTTTGGGAGGAAGAGACGGTTTCAGGGGACGGCCAACTTCTTCTGGGGTCACAGATCGACGGCGCAGTGGGTTTTTGGTGTCTCTGGTGGGTCACGAAATCGGAGTAGGTTTTGTATCACTGGGCGCCGCGGCGGCGGCGATGCGATTCAGTGGTCGGAGGGGATGCCAAAATCAGAGGTGGCTGGGGCGGCGACGTTCGAGGCTTCGAGCTAGTGGCGGTGGCCGGGGCGCCGACATCGTGGTCGTCTCTGTTTGCTCAGCCGGCTCGTCGTCGACAAAGGATGGGTAGAGAGAAAGAGAGTGCAGACTGCCGACTCTCGAGTCTCGTCTGAGAGGAAACGGAGATTTTCTTTTGGCCAATGCTACGGTACCGCTATCAAAAGTGCGGCACCGGTGCCGCTTCTTTTTACTGGACCACGTGGCTGCTTATGTGGCTTAAGTTAATTGTCTTAGGGTGCGTTTGGATACAATGATTTGGATTTGGTATTTGTGATTTGGATTTCCAAATACTAAATCATGTGTTTGGATATTAATTACATTTGGTATTTGGATTTGTGTCAAATTCATGGGGTGATTTCCAAATACATCTCTAGTGTATTTTTTGTCAACTTCAAATACATTTCAACAACTAGTGATTTGAAATACCTCTAACAAAAGAATGGACCTATTTGTAAAATATGAAAAGTTTAGGTACTATAGTGCGAGGCAAAACATATAAAGGTACCAAAATGTAATTTTACCATCAAAATTTCAGGACCTTTTTGTAAAATTTTAAAATTTTAGGTACTAAAGTGTTAAAAAAATAAATTTGGGTACCAAACTGTAATTTACCAAAATTTGTAGTAAGTGACCAGAAATTTAAAAATTGAAATTCAAAATCATAAAATACAAAATACAAACAAATTACAAATGAGTATCCAAACAATGAATTTGAATTACATGTATTTCAAATGCTAATATTTCAAATACATCCATTTCAAATGCTAGTATTCCAAATACCTTACATTTAAAATACACTTATCCAAACGCACCCTTACAGAAAATCCAACCCAAAACCTATTCCCATCAACCGGCCCAACCATCAAACCTCTTTAATGCTTTTTTATTTTCTTTTTCTCCTCGTAAATTAACAGTCTCCCTCATCATCCCTCTTCTCGGGCTGCTTTGCCGCCACGAAATCCTGTCAATCTTAAGCCAATGGAAAACTAAATCTTCCTCCCTCTCTGATCCCTTTTTGAATCATCAAAACCCGGAGTATCGGAACCCAGATCCAAAGATTGATGATTATAATTCTAGAGCGGCTTTTGCTTTCACTTAATTCCACCCTCGCTCTCCGCCTCGTTCCCGTTTGTTTAACCGGTAGTCAATAATTATTAATTCTTTCTTCCTCATCGCGCGAATGATGAACTGCAAAAATAAATTTGTTGGTTGGCTTGAGATTGTGTGGATCACGGGATGGTGGAGGAGTTCGACGGAGACGAAGCGCCGGCCGAGACAAGGATTCGTGCCTGCAAGTATTTTTCTTACATAATAACTCTTGGAGGAAGATGGTGAAGATTTTAGCGGAGGTTAATAGAAGAGCTTGTATAAGAGATCGGTTCGGCAGTGAAGAAGTTCGCCGGAACTTTTGTTGATTTTAATACTCCGGCGGAGAGGGAGGGTGAGGAAGACGAAGAGATTCTTTTTGCGTTTTGCGTTCTTTTTTGTTTGGAAAAAAGTAATCACTTTGAAAAAGCTTTTTAGTTTTTACCGTACAAAATAATATAAAAGAAAAAAAATCAGTAAAAAATTCCTTTGTGCGGTGCGGTGGTTGGCCCGGTTCATTAGAGTCGAATTTGGGCTGGTTTTTGCAAAAATTAACTAAAGCCACATCAGCTAGTCACTGCCCACATGGCCCAATTGAAATCAGCCGCACCAGTGCCGCACTTTTTATAACGGCACCATAGCATTGGCCTTTTCTTTTTCTTTTTCTTTTTAATTTCGTTTTTCTTTTTTTAATTATTTGGGTTTGGATTTTTTAACCCAGGTTCATGGGTAAAACCCAATTAAACCCAACATAATGGGTATGGGTATTGACCCATCTGACTTTATCCATTTACATTTTAATTGGATTTCAGACCCAACCCAAATGGGTTGGATAGTTATAAACCCATGGATATGGGTATAATTGTCAAGCCTACACTACAGCTTTTGTTCAGATAAATTGTCTCGTATTGCCATACACTCGTGCATCAATCTATAATCTATATCCATTTGAGTGGGACATTGAAAATATTCTTGTCCGCGAATGTACTAAACAGGCAAAGGTTGTGTATCATAGTTGACCTCTTGTTGAAAGCGAGGCATTAGAATCATCTACTTCGGTTAACATAAATGACGAAAACCCCCCCATCAATTCATAATGTCGATGTCCAAGTTTGGCGGTGTCTTGGAAATGGTCGAAACTGTATGTGGAACAACTTCCACACCTCTCATTCCTAAGTAAACCTAAACCATTTATAATCCCAACTAGGGTTATGGACCCCCCTTCCCATTCCTTCCTCGACAAGAGGTTCACTATATAAGCTCTAACCAAGCAACCATCGTCTTCCTTCACGATGTCCCTAGTTGTCATGGTTAGAGGAGGACATTGGTATTGAGACATATCTCCCTCGGCTTTGGTGGTCTCCAATGAATCATACATCACTCTTTTTATTAGGGGTGGCCATTGGGTGGGTCGGGTGGATTTTGACCATAAAATGCACCCACCCGCGCTTAAACGGATTGCTAATTTTTAACCCACCACCCACCCACATTTAGTCTCGGGTTGGGTCGGGTGGATGGTGGATGATGCGGGTGGGTTTGTGGGTTTACCCACATCACAATGTATATAATATAAAGGAGTCAACTTGACATGATAATAGGTGAAGAGAGTTCTCGGGGGAAACAAGAAGATTAAATAGAGCAGCAAAAAATGTCGAATTAGTTCTTAAATTGGATAGAAATTCTATTATGAAAGAGTTTTCTACAGATTAAGATGATTATCAGGTGCAAGGAACTAAGGAAAATAATTCCACAAAGGAAAGAGCAGTGATCTAGGCACAAGAATTAGAGGAAAAAATAAAGGGAAGAAGAAGGGATCGCTATTTGGAAGGTTGGCTTTGAGGTTCAAACTCCAGGAGCAGTCCTAGTTTATGTCT